AAATATATCCATTACTTGTTAAATATCTACTAAATAAAAATTATATACAAAAAATAAAAATATTTTCTTAAATATCTTATTAAAAGTTATGCATTTTTAAGTAATGCTTCTAATTTTAAAAATTGTAATGCTTGAAATTTATCATCCTCTTTTATATTAATTCTAATAATAATAAAGATTGGGTTAAAAATTTTATTGGAGTTATTTAGTTTAGCAAATTTTTGGTAATATACAAATGTTTTAAAAAGCCAAAAAAAAAAAAACATAATAAGGCATACAAAAACAAAAATCTTAATACTATCTAAAGTATAAATAAACTTGTACTACTTGTGCTAATTAAATATAAAGAGGCAATATTATATAGGAGTCTGCAATCTGGGCTCATGCTCATGTCTTACAAAAATTCAGATATAGGCATAGGCATGAAAGCTTTGGCATGGGCATAGACACTGGTACAAAAATTTGGTATAGGCATAAGTACAGGTACAAAAATTTGGCATAAGCATAGGCATAGATACAAAAACTTGGCATGGGCATGGGAATGAGTACAAAAAATTTAATATTTATTAATAAATTGTGCCTGGCACCTTGCCTGGCAGTTGTGCCTAGCACCTTTTTGTACCCATGTCCAGTGTTGTATATGGACATTGTCTGGCTAAAATTATAGAAATACAGATAGTCCAAAACAATATTCTATGTCCTAGACAATATTCCATGTCCGTGATAGTGTTCTATCTTATGGGTTTATCAAACGATCTGATTGGCTAACAAGACCACTCTTATTACAATTTAATTGTCCGGGACAAAAAAATTTTCTATAAACATCTCGTCCCAGATTGTCTGCTGTCTGTGTCCCATAACAACACTACCCATATCTATAAAATGCCTGGTATTTGTGCCTATGCCTATATATATGCTGGCATTTGTGCCCATGCCTATAATAATTTCTAGTACTTTTGTGCTATAAGCATGGGCATGGCATAAGGCACTAGTGCCTAGCATAGTGCCAATATGCCTGGTATAGGCATTTGCAGAGCCCTAATATTATAATAATAAAATTTACAGTAATTAATATTATTAATAATAGTATATTACAATATCATTTTTATTGTTTATTTAAAATAAAAAAAATAAAAGTAATAAAAATACTATAATATTGTGAATTTTTTTGCTAATTAGCTTAGTTTGAAAAAAGAAAGATCAAAGTATTTAGCAAAGTATATTGAAAAATACTACTATAACTTCTTAAATAGTAAAAGAAAAAGCAGAAGTATTTGTAAAATATAGTTTAGATTTTTTAAAAATTGATCTAATCAATATAGCTAAAAAAAATAAATATTATAGCTAATGCTGATTTTTTGATCTTATTTTATTATAAAATTTCAAAATTTTTTTGGGTTTTTTGTAGAGTTTTTTTTTAGAGTTAGGGTAGGGTTTGGGATTAGTATTATTAGTAAAAATATATAGGTGAATTTTAATAGGTATTGTAGATTTAAATAGAGACCCTAAAAATTAGCATCAGCCAAAATCAATATCAGCTATAATATAAAATATTAAAAAAAAATTTAGTATAAATACTTTACTGGTCTAATAATTCTTAGTCAGACCTCTCTAAGTATATTGTATGCTCTTGTTAATAATATGCATATAGAAAATAATAAAAAAAATATATTTATAGAGTCAATTACATACTTGGGCCAGCACTTAAGCGTGTATTTAGAGAGGATATGCACTTATAGAAGGTGCACTTAGAAAGGTTTAATGAAATGTATATATGACTTTATTATCTAACCAATCATATTTGGTATTATTGTGATTTTAAAAAATGAATAGAACAAATTTTTTATTTGTATAACCTAGACAAATTTCGATCAACCTAGGAAGAATTAATGATATATGTAAGCATTTTTTTTTAAAATAAAACAGGGGTTCAAAATATTATAATTAGAATTAGAAGGTTTAATGTAACTTTGAAAAATCGATTATATTTTGGTTGATACACTTATATAAGAAATGATCTACGTTCACCCTGCCCTTAAGAAAAAAAGTCCGAATGGAGCTCAATGAATTATTTATTGGATCATTGGCTTCATTGACTCTTTCGTAGATCAAAAAAATACCAAGGTTTAATTTAAATTGCAAGAACTTGCTACAATTGTCACATAATGGCAAAATATAATTTGCGAATAGCTCTTAAAAAGTTGCTTAAAAAGAAAGAGCATGAATTACAAGGATCGAATCTGTTTCACAATCTATAAGCCAAAATAGATAAACACCATAGAGCACTTATTTTTTTATTACACAATGTTTAAATTGCATTTTTCGGTTGTTTTTAATTTTTACTAACAAATAGAACTCGTAAAATGCATAAATGAACGCTTTAAAATCTAAAGTCTTTGCTTCCTTTTATAAATAACAAACAAATATATACTTTGAAAAATAAATTTTTTTTATAGTATTAAATAAAAGATATAACAAAATAATAAACAAATTAATTTGTTTGATTTTTTTATGACGACGCTAAGGATGGCAATAATCTAGTTTATTCAATTAGAAACGGGATTTCATAGTCTGACCGGAACTGAGGAGAGATTAGGGCTTCCCATCTCCCCCCCAAAAGATCATAATTTCTCCTTCATCAGACAACATAGTGCTTCTAGCATCGGTACTAGTTGAACTCATCACACTTTCTCTCTGTAATTCAGGAGATTTAGGTTCTTTACTATATACCTCGTCACTACCGAATAGTCCAAATGATTGTCGCCCTTCTATTTGATCTTGTGGTGGTGAACTAAGATTTTGCTGTTGTGATATTTCTTGAATTTGTGGGCGAGAAGATTCTGTTGACGGTCTTTCTATATCAATAGTGGGCAGTATATCATTCGATCCAGTGTCTGTTCCAGATTTAGTCGGACTACCTGGTGTAGACGCTGTTGAAGGTGTACTTAAGAAAGATTTGGCAGTTTTTGGAGTATTAGGATTACTAGATCCACTATAGGTTGACTGTGATGCACTTTTTGAAGATTCTGAACTACTGCCGTTTGATTTAATAATATTTAATTGAACAATTGCAGGTTTAGCACGTGTTGCCGTTATTACTGTTGTTGTTGGTGTGGTTTTAGTCGCTTGTAAAATTGTACCAACTTCTGAAATCGGATCATCATCTTCTACAAAATCAATTAATGTTTCAGAAGTTGAATTTTTAGGTATTGGACTACTTAGTGGTGTAGTTCCCGCGCTAACTACTGATGTGCGCATTCTATTATGAGCATCTTGAGGTATAGTTGGTGGTATGTATGCAATCGGAATAACATTTTCTGCATATATTGAACTGACTTCTTCATTACTATCTAATTTAATACCTTTACTTTGATATTTTCGTTTGTACAAGAAGTATCCAGCAGCCACCAAAACAATTAAACCAAGAATACCACAAATTACACCCGGTATTATTTTACTGTTTCCATTATCCTCATTGGGACTAGGTGTACTTATTGTACTATTGCAAAATGCTTGTGGGCATTGATTACATGTCCTCACGGTAAGAACGCAATTCGTACCCGACGGACAACTAGGACATTTTGGAACATCTGTACATACCACACAATTGGGCTCAGGAGTAACTTATAATTAGAATATATTAATGGATTTTGAATTAATCAATTTATTCAAATTTCTAAAATATATTAAAATATTAAAATAATCATAAAATTCAAAATAAACTTACTATCTGCCGTTACCAGCGGTACATCTATTAACACGATTGCTATACATATTATAACAATCAAGACCCATGATTTTATTTTCGATAAAGGGAACAAATTTAACATGTTTGTATATTGTGTAAAATTTCTCATGAAGCAAACAATAGAAGCTGAGAAAAAACGAATGTAAAAAGTTTTGTGAATTATATGCCTGTAAGTTTAAAAAAAAAAAGGATAACCAAAAATTAGACAAAAGAAGTCGTTCGAAAAAATTGAATGTCAGAGTTAATGTTTCATACCAATCGTTCGGG